TGTTCCCTGACCTTCGAGAGGGAAAAATACCTGAGCTTTTCGCCCACACACCCCTTCAATTAAACTGACCCATCTTGGCCCTCAGCCAAACTGCTCTCGCTAGCCAAACTGCTCTCGCTAGCGTGGTTAGACAGTAGTCAGTTGAGTTTAGGATTGTGCATAGATTAGCAGTTTGCTAACCTTGAGCGTATCTAATAACACGCACGTATTTTTTGTTAGTGTGTGATCGTATTTCGAATAGACCACGCGTAGACCGTGCATTTAAAACTACCAAGTAATCCGAAATAATTCTTTTCTTTCAAAACCCTTCATGGATAAATGTAAAAGAAAAAGAACATATTATTTTAACGATGAATGGGAACATCTATATTGTTTCGTTGATTACAAAGGGAAGTGTATTTGTTTGTTGTGTAATAATAGTGTTGCGATTCCCAAGAAAAGTAATATTGAACGACATTTTAAGACCGTTCATACCAATTTTGATAGTGACTATCCAATGAACTCTGAAATTAGAAGAAAAAAAATTATTTCTTTAAAATCTTCAATAACTAACCAGCAAAGTTTTTTTACTAAACCACTGCAACAACATAAAGCAGCAACGATCGCGTCATATAAAATATCGCATTTGCTAGCTAAGAATAAAAAACCATTTACAGATGGAGAATTAGTGAAAGAAGCCATGTTAGAAGCTGCTGATTCACTTTTTGAAGAATTTAAAAATAAAAAGGAAATAGTTTCAGCTATAAACACGTTGCAATTATCAGCACGAACTGTTACTAGAAGAATTGAAGTAATTGCGGAGAATTTGGAGGCAGAATTAGCAAATGATATGGAAAATTGTATTTTCTTTTCGCTACAGATGGATGAATCGGCAGACGTGACAAATATATCACAATTAGCAATTTGCGTGAAGATGGTATTTTTCTGATTTTACAACAAAAGAAGAATTCCTTAAAGTTCTGCCATTAAAGGGAAGCACCAGAGGAGAGATATCTTTTCTACTTTTAAAAAGTATATAACAGATATAAAATTACCTGTACAAAAGTTATCGTCAATTACAACAGACGGGGCACCAGCGATGACTGGTAAGAAAAAAGGATTTATTGCCTTATGTAGACAGGATTCCTTATTCCCGAAATTTATTTCTTATCATTGCCTCATGCATCAGGAAATGTTATGCGCAAAAAACAATTGGTTTTCAACACGTATTTAAGATAGTAACAAAAATTATTAATTCCATAAGATCGGGAGCTATGCAACACAGATTGTTTAAATTGTTTAAATTTTTTTAGAAGATGAGGACGTTCAGTTCACAGATCTTCTTTTACATACTGAAGTGAGGTGGCTGAGCAGAGGTAAAATACTTGAGCGGTTTATCATGCTTTTGCCACAAATAAAGGAATTTATTGCATCAAGAGGCGAATTTTACGAGCAATTAGAAAATAAGGATTGGCTAATCGACCTCGGATTTCTGACAGATATAACGGCAAAGTTGAATGAATTAAATTTAAAAATACAAGGGAAAAATCAGCATATCGCTGACATGATTAGTGCAGTAAATGCATTCAAATGCAAGTTAGTGTTGTTGAAATCCCATCTATTGAAAAAATCATTATCACATTTCCCAAATATAAAATATACTGTTGAGAGTTTAAATTTGAATAATGAAAATTTTACTGCTACATCATATTTAGAAATTATAGATAAGCTAATAGAAGAGTTTTCTTCTAGATTTGAAGATTTTGCAGCATTAGAACCCGTTCTAAGATTTTTCATAAATCCATTCAATGTTACTGAAGATGATGTCCTTGAAATAGTTTCAGTGTATTTCGAGCTTCATAATATCGAAGACCTAGAATTAGAAATAATAAACTTGCAAAGTGATATTATTTTAAAAGCGCATAGTAATGATAAAATGTTTTGGAACTTAGTCGATGAAAATAAGTATCCTATTTTAAGGAAATGTGCGCTAAAAATTTATTCATATTGTGCAACAACATACAATTGCGAGTCTTTGTTCTCAAATATGAAATATTTGAAATCAAAATACCGAACAAAGCTTAATGACTCACATTTAGATAATTGTTTAAGGACCGGGAACTCTAAATATATCCCCAATTATAAGAAATTAGCTGAAAATATGGACACCCAAGTTTCACACTGAATTATATGTATCATTATGTATGACACCAACAAAATAAAGTTATAAAAAATCTGTTTTTTTTAATGCCTATTTATACCTGTTGATTATCTGTAAAATATGCGCCCTCGGTGATTTTCAAATTTAGTATTGCGCCCTTAAGGACAAACAGGTTGCCGACCCCTGTCTGGTATCAAAAACAAAACAAAAAAAAAAAATTAATATTTGTTTATTTTAGTAAACATTTCTGTCAATGTAAGTTGTTTAAGTTGCTTCGTTTTTTGTGATAATACTTTAATAATTCTATAAACAGACATAATTTCTTCTATGTAATTTTTTCAGTTACAAAGTTCTACTGTTCAAGTCCTGTAATTGCTGTGTCGAGAATACCGACTAACTTGTCAATCGAAATTTTTTCGTTTTAAATAACGTTCTCTGTTACTTTCTTCACTATCGGAAGCACGCATGGGTAAACGCTTTACTGGCTTTACGCGCATACGTAGTGGACGCGCGCATCAAACGCGCATGCGTAAGTTTGTTGCTTTTGAGGTCCGGATTATGGATCATTATTAGATCATTGCGGATAATGGACGTCCGGATTAGAGACTTTGTACTGTATTTAAGCTTATTTTTATTTACGGTGAAAATAAGGCATTTTTACTTAAAGTTGTCTTTTTCATGATGGAGGTTTGGAATTGGAAAGAACACTTTACAGGAGATAAATCTTAGGAAAAAAACACATACTTTTTTTAAATACTTATATTTTTATTTCTTTTCAAAATTCTGCTTTGGTATGATTTATTTTAAAGCATGGAGATAAACTGAGTCCAATATCACAATCAGGACAAAAGTATCTGGTTTCTTTTCTGATATGTTTTCTGCTGTCATTCCTTTTCGAGCAACACACAAAGCCTAAACGAAAAGCAGTAAAAACCTGTCCTTGAACTGGTTTTACAATCCAGTCTCTCCTGGACTACTAGAGACATTTATAAGAAAAAACTGCAAATTAAAAAGTGAAAAGGCTGGACGAATCGGATTGGTGTAGTCCCCTTCCATGGCACCCGAACGTCATTTGGGCAACAACTGTTAAGTAGTTAAACTAAAACCATGAAACAAAATTTTTAAAAAAGTACTTTTTCTGCTTTGTTTAAATAATTTTTAATGAAAATGTTAAATTGTAAGGTTATTTTGTGAAATACTTTATATGAAATATAATTTGTGTCAGGGACATGTATTATGTTGAAAAAATAGAACGGATAGTGAGGGGCTTGTAAATCAGGCTCTGAATGTTGCATTTGTCATAGTTACAAGTTACAGGTATCATCTTCATTACAACAGAATGAAAAATTGAACATTCGCAGTACATTTCTTAGTAAATTTAATATAAAATACATTAAAATCACTTAAAAATTTATCACTAAATCACTTTTAAAGTCATCACTAAAAAATCCATTCATGCGGTGCGTTTAAAATGAGTGCACTTCGCCGACGTATAAAAAGTAACCATTGTCAAATAAATTTTCTATAGTGGAGGGAAAGCTGGGAACATTCCAACCATCTGTGCTAACCTCCTTGGTATGGAGGATATTAAATTAAGTACTTTACAGAGATGTTTACAGAATTCAACATTTTCATGAACTTAATTTTATGTTGTCAATCAAGCTGGTGGACATAACTTTATTTGAAGAGTTAATGTAAAAAAACTGAATAATTTTATGCATTTCAGTGTAAGTTGCATTGATATAACTTTAAAATTTACTGAATTATGAATGTTTAAAAAAGTTAACTTGCATTTGAATTACCATGTAAATTAGCTATATATATATATATATAATTAACATTTTCCATACTTATTTATTTTCATAGTACAGTTTATTTTGATATGTGAAGTTATGCTGCGTAGTTTGTTTGTATTTAATTTTTCTCCTCTTTTTATTTGCTCTTGAGTGATAACAGAAAATGGAATTTAACAAAATGGTGCTAACAAAAACCATTTTGATACTGTCTGATTATCTGCTCAATCATCCCGCTAATTTGCAATCATTGGTGACTAATTTTTTGCTAACCTAACATGTTGAAAAGTAGTTATTTTAAAAAATGGTAGCGCGCTAAAAGTTGCATAAAAGAGCAATGAAATAATTTTTTTAAAAATTAAAAAACACAAGAAACATCCATAATGAAACTGAAAAAAACCTAAAACAAACATCCATAAAAAAAATCTAAAAATTACATGAAACAGCAACAAAAAACATCCACAACACTTAACCTCCCCCCGCAATCTTCTGCCCATGGGTACAGCGACTTTTTTTTAACTTAATAAAACACTCGAAAATTGCCTAAATTAAAATTAACTTCAGAGAATGTGTATTTCTACGCTCTCTATTACTAGGCAGTGTCATATTTCTGAAGAACAACAGACAAATTCTACAAATAATACCAGGGCTGCCATTACAAGAAAAGAAAGAAAACTCCAAGGAGGTTAGAATACCTCCTTGGAAAACTCCACGCCCTAATCACAAGCGGAAACCACAAGCATGACTCTTGAATTTCAAAGCTGTGTGCATTATGTGCAACTATTAGTGGGTTGCCAGATAGATACATTTTCATAAAATTCTTGGTCGTCTACTTTGGTGACATAGTGCTTCTCCCATGATGCCATTCTTGGTGATTCCACTTGCAGTTGAGCAGATAATCAAAGAGTTATCCCATTTCTGTAGCTGTGATGCTAGAAATAACATCCAAATGTTTGTTTAGCTGTAATTTGTGCACAGCAAATAAAATATCAAGAAACTTGTCTTGTGACAGAATAATTGCATACTAATTCTGTATTGTATATTAATGGTGATCTTTGTACTTTCAGGAAGTTTAAAACACCCAAACATCGAAATTTGAAGGGAAAAAAGAAAATCAAGAAAAAGACCAAATTACGACAGTCAGCAAAACGGCAACATAGTTGAGATATATGAACAGCTTTTGTAATATATCATATGTTACCATAAATGTAAGAAAAACTGCATTCTAACATAAATTTTTCTAAACAGAATTGTGGTATAAAGTGTTTGAAACTAAACATTTGGATAATCAGAACTTTGAAATTTTAAAATTACATACAAGCAGTCCGATTTAACAAGGATAATACCAGGGCTGTGGAGTCGGAATCGTAGTCGGGCAGATTTTGGGGTAAAAGGAGTCGGAGAAGGAGTCGCTAAAAACAGGTCGACTCCAGGTTTGTTGGAAAGTTTGAATTTAAAATGAAATTAAAAGGAATTGAAAAAAAAATTAATGACAAGCTGAGTTATTATTTTTATTTGTGGATTATATACATCAATAAATACTTATTTTCTATTTTATTGACATATTAATAAATATAAGGGAGGAGGATGGATGTGATATTTGCCATTAGTGATTAAACTGATTCATTTAGTTACAAGTCTCACTGGTAAATTTAGGTTAGCATCAATTGATTAACTCCCAAAGTTGATGCCATTCTTACAAAGTGAGCAGGAAAAGGAGCAATTATTGATCAAGCAACGCGATAAGGAAGTTGTTGCGTTGAATCTACCTGAATATTATTTCATTCAGTCGTTCTCGCCTTTAAATTAAATCTGACTCCATTCTATAGCACTTCAAAATAAATATTTTAAATAAACAATAACACTTTCTTGCTTAAGAAAGCCACAACTTTATTTACTTACACACTTAAGGAAATCAAAACATTAATCTAATCTTTCGTACTGTTGCCAAACTACAAAAAACAAAATCTGTCTAAAAAGGAACACAACGGCTGTCGAATATCGTTAACAAATATAAATCATAGAGCTCACAACATACTCCCACTTTTTGATTTTCTTAAAATGGTCTATAAAAAATCAAAACATTAAATAAAAATAAAAATTTTCTGCTCAATCGATTTGCAGAGTACTCAATACACTCACAATATAAATTAAATAATAATACAGAACATATACTTAAAAATCACTTATAACGAGAAGGTTTGAAAATTTTTCTGCTACATCTAGTTTTTATTTCGAAATCTGTTACTTAAAGATCACTGTCCCTTTTAACATCTTTAGATTTATGAGGAATGTTCCTTTTATGAGAAACACTTGGCACGGAATTTCTTGTATAGAGAACTTTCCCTTCATTATATTCTCAAAATTTTTATTAAAGAAACGCAATATCCAGGCTATTAGTCTCAAAATCTTTGAATACTTGAAAAATCGTCCAAGTACCATCGCTTTTCTATAAAAAAAAAAAAAAAAAAAAAAAAAAAAAAAAAAAAAGTTAACTAAAGCAGTTTCTCCCTCCTTTCGCTTTTCGTAAACTTCTTCTCTATTGGTTGGAATCTGAGATTTGGGCCAGTTGTCTTCGGAATGCTTTAGCCACTCCGGTCCCTCCCACCATTTCGATATAAGGAGAAATTTTGGACAACAACATCTGGATGGGAGGTCTGTCGGATTATGACTGCTAGGAATATGTTTCCATGAATCCATTGAAGTGGTACTTCGAATTTTCTTAACTCTGTTTTTAACGAATGTACTTCAAACATCTTCATTCTTAATCCAAAACAAAGCGGTTGAAGAATCTGTCCAACATGTGGTTGGGACTTCTGTCAAATTCATTTCTTTTATAATGTAAGATATAATGCGTGCTCCTACACAACAGGCTAATAATTCCTATCTGGGAATTGTTGCCTTTGCCAAGGGAGCAACTCTGCTCTTAGCTTGAATTAAATGAATTTTTAGTTCATCACGGTGTTCTTTACGAAGAAATACAACTGCGCTAAGTGCAGATTTACTAGCATCTACAAAAGTGTGAAGCCTTAATCCATCTCGGCAACCATCACAATCAACATATCTTGGAATTTTAATTTCCGATAATAAATGAGGATCTTCCGTCCACAGTGAAAACCTTTTACAAACACTTTTCAGGATATACCTCATCCCAGCTTAATTTAAGAGTCCAACTTTCTTGTATTAGCATCTTCATGCATATAGTTACTGGACTTAACATCCCAATATGATCAAAAATTCTGTTGACAGCTGAAAGAATATTTCTTCTGGTTACAGGTTCTTTCTCAAAGGAAACATTCTCTAAGATACAAAAAAGGACATCTTTATTTCTGTTCCACAATAATCCAAGAACGGGAGATTCCTTTTATCTTCTGTTAAAGAAATATATACCCATCCGCGTAAGTCAAAACATGCTGAAGCTAGAATTTGTTTAGCCTCATGTACAAATTGCAGTAATTCCTTTTCATCAGATACATATATTACACAGTTATCCACATAAAAGGCATTTCTTAACTTGCGCACAGTTTCTGGAAAAACATCACGGCATTCCTCCAAATGAAAATTAATGACTGCAGCCAAAAAGAATGAACTGCATGTGAGTCCAAAGACTACCCTTTTATGATGATAAATTTTTAATTTTCTTTTCTCGAAATTCTCCCACCATAAAAATCTCAAATAGTCTTGGTCTTCTTCCGCAACAGAAATTTTTAAGAAGGCCTTCCTTATGTCTGAAATGATGGCAATTGATCTTTCCCGAAACCTCAGTAGCAGTGAAAGAATTTTCCCTAAGAGGTTTGGTCCTTTCTCTAGAACATCATTAAGTGATGGAGAATGACCGGATGTACATGAAGCATCGAAAACAGGTGTGGTAGAGTTTTTCTGGAAAACACCTCGATGGGGTAAATAATGATATGGGATTTTATTTTCTTTTTCGGGTGGTACTTCTTCAATAATACTTTCTGGTAAACATTCCTGGAAAACAACATCATAATCTGCATATCTGCCTTCCTTAATAAGTTTCTCCGGAATTGAAGCACACCTGTGCTCTGCAACCAATTTATTTTCCTTCAAAATCTCCTGTTTTTCTAGCCAAGGCAGCTTCATGATGTAATGACCTTCTTTATCCCTTCTCACCGTTTGCTGGAACTGTTTCATAAGTAATTTATGTGTCTCTTCTTTAGATTTTATTTCAACAGGATCTCTGATGCCTAGAGTACCAGAGTTTCACAGATTAGCAATTGATGCATTTTTTTATCAGTAGAGAGGTGATTAAGTTTGCAGAGGTCTTAATAGGGTTCTCATCAAACATTTTCCCCATAACCAGCCAGCCTAAAAGCGTTTCATATGCGACTAAGCCGCACTTAAGATAATGAGTTTTCCCCTGTAAACAAATGATCACGAAAATCAGCTCCAATTAATATCTCCATATCGGAAAAATTCTCTCCATAATCATTAAGCCATATCTTCTTTTCCTTTAACTCTTTTTCCTATAATCCTCCTTTCTTTAGTTGCAGAATTTTTCCACAAATAATAGACTGATCTAGATCTTGTATCTTATAGGAAAATGTATTTGTTTAAGGATTCAATGTCAAGTTCATACTCACGATGCTCCTTCATCTCTGTCGTTAATCTTCCAAAAAGTGTGTGAATCAAAAACCTGTCATCATTTGGTTTCATACGCATCTCATATACAGTTGTCTTTAATATGTATGAATGTTGGGAACCGCTATCGATGAGTACCCATACTGGTTTTCCTTTATTTCCTGATTTCAATCTAACCCGTAATGTCTGAAATAGAGCTTCACTAGAGTAACAATGATTTGACAGGCTGTTATCGCTTGGTTTTGATTCTTCAGATTTAAGATAATTATTAATTAATTTGTTAGTTTTCAGCTCTGGACACATTAAAATCAAATGTCTTTTTCCACAAAGAATACATTTAATATTTGTTTTGCAAAATTTTGACCGATGTCCAGCTCTTAAACATATAAAGCAGACTTTCTTATACTTTAAAATATCTTGTTTCTGCTGAAAATTCAGAGTTTGAGCCTTAAAACAATCTCTGCTCTCGTGAGCCTTTTCATAAAATACACAAGCTATGTTTTGTTTTCTCTTTTGGAAAACTCCTGAAAATAAATCTGCAGCTGTCCGTTGATTAAGAGCTTTATTCATCTTTTCTTTCTCCCCTTTTTCATATTTATTTGAAAACTCAGATTTCGCTAAGAGAACTCGCTCCTCTCTTTCTACTTCCGTTTTCATCAACAATAACAACCTTTTTAGCTTTTCACTGTATGGATTCTTTGCTGACTCATCCAGTGTACTAACTATTGGATTTCTCAACCACACCCTTAAAATGTCCTCTGGTATGCAAGATTCAATGAGAGGGAAAAGCATGGCAGAATATTTATCCGATGTCAAACCAATGGATTCCAGACCTCTCAAATAGGATTCCAGTTATCGTACAGTCTAACAGTGTCTAATTTTTCGGGTACTGCCTGTAGCATTTTTTACGACTAACTTTGGCAGTTCTCATTTGTAGAACTCAATAAGTAATTCATCTCGACCAAAACGAGATTTTGGGCATTCTACCACTTTATTATAATTTTCACCTGTTGGCGGTTAACTGTTTACAATATCACGAGCTCTTGTCTCTTTCGACATACATTGTATTAAATGCTGAAATTTATCTTCCTTTTCTATATTTTGATCTTTATGAATTCTTTGGAACTGGCTGGCAAGCCAGTCCTTAATTTCACAGGTAAATTTAGCGAGTTAAATCTTCAGTAATTTCAGTTTCCTTTTAAACTGAACGGAAGAAGAACAAACTTACTGGTTACACTGAACCTTTAAAATTCTATTTATACAAATGTCTACTTTAACTGTAATGCTACCCACCTTCTCATTGTATTCTTGAATAATTAAATACTCGCGCTCGTACTTCACTCATTTCAGAATCGAAACTAGAAAGCTGAGTATATATCCTTTTTAAACTATCAAACATTTATCGAATTTCTATCTCATTAGGTTTTTCCTGATTTAATAAATCATTCAAGGCGTTAAAAGTTTTAGTAAAATTAGCTCTAAGAGGCGAGCGTTTCTTTACTAATGATTCCATGCTGAAAAGTTTATAGGATTTACCTTCAAAATCCAGTGAGATCACGTCCCGGTTGTCACCACTAATGTTTCGTTGAGTCTACCTGAATATTATTTCATTCAGTCGTTCTCGCCTTTAAATTAAATCTGACTCTGT